GTACTCTTGTGATGTCAGTTTATATTCCAGCATTAGTCCCACTTTTGTATGATTCAACATCGTTAGGAAAAGCCAATAGCTTTTCTAGATCGCTTCATGATTTTTGTATACAACGATTAACGGCTACTGGGCCTTTATACCCAATATCTTTCAAAACGTGCATGGCCAACTTTCCCGAACTCAAAAGTAAGCTAACTGAAGGTATAAAAGCAAACGAATCTGTAAAGCAAAAGAAAAATATAATCAAAGGTAATGATGTACAACCGCAAATCAAACTAAAAATGGACTTTAGTAATTTTAAATAAAATCTCTAAATAAATTTATTTGTAAATTTTGTGTGATGAATTGTTTCGTCATTATTCGACCTAATGTATTCTTTAATATATAAAATGTATTTTATTTTTTGTATTAAAATAAACAAAACTTCAATACCGTATCCTCTATACGTACTATGTTGATGTGCTCGTGTAACTTGACGTTACACAAACGTAATCATGTTAGAAAACATGATTACGTTTTTTACATAGTTACAGTTTTATTTAATTTACATAATTTTTGTTAGTATCCTGAGCTCCGTTCTCCATTCTGTCAATCATTCTGTCAAATATTTGTCAATCATCTATAAATTGGATTTATATCAGAATTACTTTATAACGGAAATATATTAGCAAACCTTTTATAGTGAATTTCTAGCAGACTTTCATAGACAGCGGTCTATTGTAATTTTGTTCATTGGTTCATTAGTGGGTTATAAGTGGAATATTGTATTGATATTGGTGACAGAAGATTGCAAAAATTTAATATTGTATTGCGGTTACAAAAAGATATGTTGTGGTTGTCCGTTCGAAGCTGGTTCTAGACCAATAAGCGACATTGGTAAGGAAAGAGGCGTAAACATCTTAGTTAAACGCCTCCCGTGGTGTTGTGATAAGACCGTACGGACTTCTGGGAACACCTTAATAACTACAAAAAACTTCATACATCAGATATAAAGTCAGACACGCTGTATAATTTGTTCAAAACCAGTTGATAAAATTAATCAAGAGAAAAGTTGCCGGATGTTACTCAAAGAAAAAGTTTGAGGTGCGCTTTCCCCAAAAAAATACACATTTATTATTGAAAAATTGTTTATAAAATCATCAAACAGTTAATTATCTGAGTATCAAAATCATAAAGAACTTAAAATAAAAATTTTATAATATTACACCAAATTTCAAAACATATTGACTTGATATACCAATATATATGTTAAAGTCCCGCGAAATGTTATTCTAAATGTATAAATAAAATTTTATTTATACATTCAGAAGAACTTTTCGCGGGACTTTAACATATATATTGGTATATCGAGTCAATATATTTTAATGATGATGCATGAGACGCTTTTAAAAGCATCTCATGCTTTTATTTTTACATTCTGAAGATGGCTGAAATGTTTATATATTATGAAAATGGCTTGTATAAAACCTTGTTTCAAGAAAGTTTACCCAACAGATAAGTCAAACTATCGACCAATAAGTATCCTTCCAGCTCTTTCCAAATGCGAAACAGAAATTTTTCAGCATAATTTGTTTAACGGAAACGTGGTGTTCTAAAAAGTTTTTTCTAATTCTAATTCTAATCTCCATCTCCCAGGCATTTAAATGATCTAGCAGCTCTGACACATCAATTATTTTTTCACTGTGCCGAAAAAAAAGAATACCGAAGACCTTTTGGGGGAAATGCTTTTTTAATTCGTAAAAGCTTACCGTTGTCTCTTCAAGTAATACACGAAGATGAACACATTCTTGCAATAAAAGGTTCATTTGGCGACAGTATTTTATTTTTATTGGAGTTTATCTTACTTCATGCAGAAATACTTCTGAATCCTTAGAAAAATATGTCTCAACTTAGTTTGATAAACTCCATCATTAACACATATGAAGATGAAGGAGAATGTATAATTGCAGACGACTTTCAGTCATTTCCAGAAAATACATATGATACGGAAATCCGAAACAATAAAACACGAAATAACTTTTATAAGTATTTATCCAATTTTCTTGAATTAAATAAGCTCTTTTTTTTGGACATAATTAATGGTACTGGTCCAACCTATACCTATAAACATAAAATGCTGAATAATTCATCTTATATCGATCACATTGCAGTACTAAAAGAATCATCAATATGCTATACTGGCTGCCATGTTATTCCTCCTTCGCAACTAAACATGAGCAATCACTTACCCATCACTACAAATATGTTGTAAATAGTACTCTTAAAAAATATAATACAATCCCAAAGTATGCATGGAATGATAATAACTTTATTAAAATTTATAATCAGAAACTCTCCGATTTTTTCAAAGATTACACTTTTATTGGAAAAGAAATAGAGAAACAATCTCAAACAACATGTGAAAAAATAAACAACGCTGCTATTTTAGCAATGGAAGACTGTTTTCCACAAAAAGAATCAGGAGCTTACTCTAAATCATGGTGGACACCAGAAATTAAATCGTCCATGGATATTCTCTCTTTCCACTTTAAAGAATGGAAAAAAGATAACTTTAGTAGATGGCAGGAATGCAGTTCATTTAACAAGTACAAGCTAGCTCGAAAAAATTTCCGCAAAATTGTAAAAGCGGCTCACAACTTAAAAATTAATAAAATCACCAAAAATATTGAATCTCTTCGAAAAAGTAATCCACAAAAGTTTTGGAACAATATCCGAAAATTTAAATCAAATCCTAACAATCGTATTTTTACTATAATTAAAAAACAAGATAAAAAAGAAATTGTAGAAGAATTTAGACAAAACTTTAGTACCATTCTCAACACTCCCACAATTACCAACAACAACAACAAACACCGTCGTATTCCACAACTCATTGATGAGCCTAATAAAATTCTTGTATCAACTTCCGACATCGAAACTTGTATTCTTAAGCTTAGATCTAATAGATCAAGTGATTACTGCGGAATTACTGCAGAACATCTTAAATACTCCTATAACAACAATCTACTTACGGTTTTCAAAGTTTTATAACAATATCTTCACTAATGGAGCGGTGCCGGAGTACCTATCAACATCTATAACTGTTCCAATAGTGAAATCCTATAAAAAATCTCTTGATAATTCCGAAAAATATCGCGGAATTAGTATCGTGCCAATTCTGACAAAGCTCTTTGAATATATTATTATGGAAAAATGTCCGGAAATATCAGATAGCCACTCTCACCAATTTGGCTTCAAACATAATAGCTCCACTCTTCATGCAGAGTTTCTTTTAAGTGAAACAATAAAATATTACAATAACAATAATTTATCAATATATATTTGTAGTTTAGATGCAAATAAGGCTTTCGATAGCTGGAACTGGAAATTGTTGTTTGAAAAACATTATTACAACAAAAAATTATCGCTATCAGTAGTTCGCGCACTACAATCACTATACCTATCGGGTACTGCTAGTGAACTTCCTGTTAAATGCTCACCCGCGGTGCTCTATTATAAGACCGTAAGGACTTCTAGGAGCACCAAAATACATACAAAAAATATATATATATATATCATACCTTGGGCATAAATTAAATCATTTCCGTTTGTCTCAAGGCGTGCAAACAAGGATCCATTTTATCACCACATTTATATAATTTATACACTCAAAGTATATTAAATCAAATTGTTTCAGATTGCAAAGTTGGAACAACGATAAGTGGGGTGTACACCGGTATTATAGCTAATGCAGACGATATAATCCTACTAAGTCCTACTCTGTCTGGTTTACAAGAATTGGTTAATAAAGTTCAGTCACAATGCTAAAACCTATATATCAAACTAAACACTGAAAAAACCGAGTTTATTATATCCTTTAAAAGCTCAATTACAAAAAATTCAATTCAAATAAACGGCTTTTCCATACACCTCAAGAATAAACTAAAACACCTCGGATTCCTATGGGATAATCAAAATAATACAAAAATATAGCAACACTTCAAACATTAAATGTAAACGAATGTATTATTCAGTTTCAATCAATATCCAGAGCTCTTATAAAATCGGGTATTCGTTTTTGTCAACCATTAACCATAGTACACTTGTTCAAATCACTGGCTGTACCGAATTTATCATACGGGTTAGAAATTTGTTGTTATAATAATTCACTTCTTAATAAACTAGACGCTGTAGGAAAGTCAGCATTAAAATTCCTATTTAGTATATCGAAGTACAGCAAAAACTACCTGCATCCCTTCTTTAAAATTGATGACATATCTACCATCCTCATTCGAAACAAATTAAATCTGTTTATCAGACTACTGAACAATCCAACTTGTTTTTCCCTGATTTTGGCTCAGATATCTGATGTTACTAAAGATTTATCAACGAAGTAATAAAAATTTGCAATCAACTTGAGCTAAATTTCGTGCAGTGTTTGATAGAGGGGGAAAAAATAACGGTAAAACGTTGCTACGATGACGTAGGAGAAAATATAGCGGCAATTTTGAACCATTATTTTGAATTCTGGAATATCAGAGAACAAAGACTGGTATTTACTAAGTTGATAAAGCAGATGTCTCAGTTCACTTTCTTATTTATTTTTTTTGTATAAATGCAAACTATAAATTAAATAAATAAATATAAATGCAAACTATAAATTAAATCTGAGTTAAACAACTATAAAAAAAACGTGTATACAATAACAATAATTTGAAATCTTTTAAGGAACGAATTTCGAATCAAAACTGGAGCAATATTAATTTCAATGATGACATACACCTGATCTACGACTCTTTTTTCAAAACATTTAAATCCATCTATGACGCAAACTTTCCTATGCGTGAAATAATTCTTAACGCAAAGGACGTATCATGTCCTTAGATAACTAAAGGATTTAAAAAATCATCGAAAGCGAAACAAAGACTGTATATTAAATATCTAAAATATAAATCAGTCAATCATAAAAATAACTACTTAATTTATAAAAATAATTTCAAAAAACTCGGAGTAGTAATGTAAAAAAAGTCGGAGTAGTAATTTCTTTTTGCAAAAATGCAAAAAGAAATTACTACTCCGACTTGTTTGCAAAGCATAAACATAATTCAAAGCGTATTTGGCAACTAATGAAACAAATCACGGGAAAAAATAAGAAAAGTACAATATTACCAAATGCAATAAAAATTAAAAACAAATTACCCTAATAAAATTGCTTTTGAATTTAATAAATCTTTTTCTTCAATCGGAACAAGCTTATCAAATAAAATTCCTTATTTTAATGACAAATCAATTGATGAGTTTATAACATCACCTAATTTAACTTTAAATTTTAACAAACCAAACATTCATCGAATTTAAAGCAGCATTTAAATCATTAAAATGGAATATAGCAATTGATTCAAAAGCTGGTTCAAAAGCTATCTTAGTAATCGTAAGCAGTTTGTTAATAT